AGTTTAGAATGTTCTATATTTATTAAGCAGTAAACAATCAATCATCTCTTACATTTAAAAAAAAAATTAAGTGTATTTAATAGTACCGAAAGCTTGGGTATTTAAATTTCAAGATGTTCCCACAAGTGTACATATTCTTGTTCTTCTAATTTTGTGTTGCGCTAATTTAACAGAGTACTGTTTATTTTAGGCATCGCTTCCGGGGGGGGGGGGGGGGTGGAATTGAAGGCACGTCAAACCCACCCCCACCCCCACCCCCCACCCCCGCCACCCCCCCCCCCCCCCACCCACGCACAGACACAACCTTATAAAAAGAAATATAATATAATTTATATAGAAAGTAAATGCTATTAAAATTTCATAGTTCTCGTCTATTTCTTTTTCTCTGTTGCATCAACTTTTTTTTTCCGTTACAAGAACAGCTATGGTCTGGGTTAGATATTATTTTAATTTCATAATTCATAAAAAATATTATACCTTAAAAAAAAGAACTTTAGACAAAATAAAAACACTAACAATTTGTGGAGTAGAGTGTATACAGTCAGCTGACAGCTGCTTGGTTACTAGGCCCACCTCCACAACTGTGATGTGGCCAGCCCCGTGGCAGTAGTTCCATGCTTTCTACTACCGAAGTGCTTATTTTTCTCGAATATTTACAATTTTATTTATTTTCTTTTTTTCAGAAGGCATTGTCTTAAATGTCAGTGTGCATTGGGTTGACTTTTGCGACATTGTATTTTAGTTATTAGCTTCTAAATTTGGTAGAAATAGTGATATATATATATATATATATATATATATATATATATATATATATATATATATATATATATATATATATATATATATATATATATATATATATATAGAGAGAGAGAGAGAGAGAGAGAGAGAGAGAGAGTTATATTAATAGCAGAGCTTGTTAAATACATTATTATGTGTTGTGAAAACATGTTTATGTTTTTATATGAATAAATATTATTTCATACTTAAACCCATTTTTTAAAGTCCATTTACCTAATCCTAATCAATTACCATAATTTATAAAAAAAAGTTAGTGGCTCTTTAAAAAAATAGAAAATATCGGCTCTTCAGTCTCAAATGGTTACCGACCTCTGATGTAGTTCTATCAGCTTTGTGTGACTTATCATTAGTTGATTTTAAAGATTCAACTTTAGCTTCGTTATCATAAATAAAATAATTTGCGGTAATGCACAATGATCATGATAAATAATAGAAATTCTAGCTCAAACTATGTAAGAAATTATGTAACATCTTGGAATGAGTCTTACAATTTCGAATACAAAAATTAATTTAGTTTTGTTTTTATACATAAACTGACCTCTTAAACGATACATACGAACGTATAAAATGATATTAGATAATTAATATAATAATGTAATGGCTGATTACTATTCTTTTACTCTTTATGTACACGTTAATCAACAAAAGAATTTGAAGTTGTTTCCCCTATAAAATGTAAATTAAGTTAAGTCCCTTTTATTTATCACATCCAAACAATAGAATTTTAACATATCATTCACTTAATCGGTTAGCTAAGACTATCTAAAATGGTTCTTTATTGAAAGAATAATCGAGCCGTGACACTGTGTACCTTGTCCCTCAAATTTAAAGGTTATATTGACCCGCCATTTTTCTTAAAGAGTCAGAGATCGCGGGCAGTATTTTTTTTTATTAATTTTTACTGAATTTGTAGCTGTCTAGCGATCAACGATTTTAAATTCGGTTAATCAACGTGACGACATTATATTACATTTACTCAACATTTCGCTGCACGTGTTTCTATAACAAACCGCCTCTCTCTCTTTTTGTGGTCGGGCTGACCGTTAGCCCTACACACCTGACTAAGCGATCACATTATAATGATGCACACTCTGTTATTTAAAGATATAATTGTAACGTGGTTATTTTGAGTTTTTTACTTAGTAAAAAATTACTAGATCTACATCATTTTAGTTACAATTATTTGAAATGTTTAAAAATTAACTTGAAATACCATGAATTGTTCTAGAAAATTGCCACGGATCTTGATCTGGGTTCACCTGAGAGCTACAGACCGTTCTCCCTCTGCTCTAACATCAGCAAGCTCTTGGAAAGGCTGGTCAATGTCCGCTTGTTTTGGTTTTTGTCAAATAAAAGACTGATAGACTCGTGTCAAGCGGGCTTTTGGTGGGGACGGCAGCCAGTGGACTCCGTTCTTCAATTGATTAAGGAAATCACTGGCTGTTTCCACTCAAAGGTCACCACCTATGTGCTGTCCTTCGATCTGAAACAGGCCTACTATAAGGTATGGAGATCCAAATTGATATTAAAACTCCGTCAAATGGGCGTGTGTAAGAACATGTAGCCTACCGGTGACCAACAGACTTTCTGGACGCTTGTATTATCAGGACCAGGGTAGGAACTGACCTATCTGATCTGATAACGATCGAGTATGGTCTGCCACAAGGATCAGCTCTGTGTTGCACGCTCTTTCTATGCTGTATCAACCTTTGGGCCCGTCTATGTTCCAGGTAAAACACTTGAAATAATGTATGTGTAGTCAATACTAAAAGTTGAATGAATATAATAGCAGAAATAAAATACATACATACTAACTGTTATGAAATGCACACACAATATAAATACAAAAAAACTCACATACAATATACATCCAAATAATTTAAGTTAATGCTTAAGTCTCTAAAATAAAAATTTTAATTTTCAATTGAAATTTCATATAATGAAGCTTGAGAACTTGGCGAACTTTTTAGCGCAATTTCCATTCTGGAGAATTGCGTTTATTAACGCGTCATTTCTGGGAATGGATGGATGGATGGATGAATGAATGTATGGATGAATGTGTGTCCGGGCTTTAAGTCGTATCTCCTCCTCAACGAAGCAATATCGATGACTAGTTCCAAAAGCAATTATGTTAAGCAAGTTACGAGAATGAGCATAGGCCATAAAAATTCCGGGTTTCTTTCATGTATTTCCCGGAAAAGCCAAAAAACCTCGAACAAATGCAGTTTTTGGCCCATATCTCGGCAACCAGACCACTTAGCGACTTGAAACATGTACCAATCGATTCCTGCCATAATTTAGAACAATATTGCCGAAGAAAGTTTTCAAAAATATCCTCTCGTTTAGTCACAAATTTTAAAATTACATAAACACCTACAAACCGATCGTTCTTCTAGCTTGAACGCATCCCAGCATTATACGTCAGAGCTATTTTTAGATAACATAAGGAAATTGCGCATTAATGTCACTAGACTTTTTAATTAACTTGTTTATCTTTAATTTGAAATGTATTTATAGATTTAAATTAAAAACCCGGTTTTTGTTTTTGGAAAAACAATTTTTTTATACTTTTATTTGCAATTTAAAACAAGTGCAACAACATCAAACTATTTTACATTTTTTCAAACGTTCTTATTAAAAAAAAAACATATCAGGATGAATTTACAAATGTATACATTTTTTCTACTAACTTTTATCATCTAACGAAATTTTTTTTCGATGAACGTATTAATAATAAGTAAGTACATAGTTATCATATATGTTGTTATATATGTTGTTATACAAAATTTTAAGGGATAAGCAGTAAAAGCGGTTAAGGTAAAATGAAAGTGATGGAATCCGGATGAGGAGGGATTGACAAAACTCGTTTAAGGGGTGAGTATAGCGTGTCCTATTTGAATAGTTGTCCTTCTCACTGTTCTTGTTCTCTCGTCTGCATATATGTAAGAAATGGATCTGTCTGGGTTGAGGGTGTAGAATATTTGATTGTGGCAGAGGTCGTTGTCGGGTTGCTGGTCGTTGAGGTGTTTTTCTATGTCGTATTTGGTGTATAGACTTGTTAGGCAGTATTCACAGTGGAAGACGGCGGTGTCTGGGTGTTTTAGTACGTGGTGCTTTATTGCTTCTCTGCTTTTGATCAGATTGTTACGATGCGGGCATTTACTCGTATCAGGATGGGAAGTTTTTATATGTGTTTTACACTCGCTGGCAGAACTGAAACTGTGAAAGCAATAACCGCAGCTCTTGTCTTTTACAGGAGTTATAGGTTTGGAGATTTCAATTAGTTCGGTTTGTAGTTTCTTGTTGCGGCTGGGTTTCTACAGTGCTTAATGGACTTATTGCAGTCGTTTCTAAAGTTGTTTTGGCCGATTTAGTTTTTCTTTCTTGCAGTGTGGCTAGACTGTCTTCGTTCTTCCATTTTACTTTTGTTTCTGTTTCCATAGGGGCTGTTATCCTTGTTGTTTCTTGCGTTGTTGATTGTTCTGTTGGGTCTTCTTGTGGTGATGTGTATGTAGGCGTTTGTTGGCAATGGTTCGTCCAGTGTAGGGTGGGGGAACAGATTAGACACGTTGTCTTCTCCCGACGATTGCGATCAGTGATTTGTTTTTATAGTATATTTGTATGTAGTGTGGGATAGTTTTTGGATTATTGGTGTAGATAGAGAAGCTGCGGTTGTTCGTGTGTGGGATTGTGTTTACAGATGGCTCTTTGTTACTATAAGGACGTAGCGCTTGTATGAGTGTAGCATTGTTCAGTGTAGGTGGTACCCATCTGAGGATCCATTGATTTTGTCGTTTTCGTGTAGTGAGAATTGCAATGTATATGGACCGTGTGTTTTGCATATGTTGTGCGTTGTGGTGACGTCGAAGGCTTGTGAGCAGAAGTACCAGGTGTCATCTCTGCCGTAATTGAGTAGAAGAATGTGATGATTGCTGATAAGCTGTCTTATAATATGGCCTTGCTGGTTGGGTTGGGCTCTTGAAGTGATGAGTACTTGCATAGTAGGTGTTTCAGCTGGATAAAGGTCCGGACATTCTTCCTGTGGTAGATCGAGGATTGCTGTTGTTGACTTGGCTGCAAAGAATGGGGCCCATGTTTTCATTAAGCCACCCGAGCCGTAGTCCGGGTGGCTCCTCTCCGGATCTCTCGATCTAAAGGGAACAGATACGGGCGCAACCCAATTGCTGACTTTCGTGATAAATGCATAGTCTATTTCTAGTGCATAGAGATGATGACTCGGTGCTCAACGTACCACGGAAACCTTTAGTAAAAGGCGAAAGATTTACTCGATGTGAAGAGAAACCAGAGTTGAAAATTCTGTATGAAGTAATTATGTTTGTCGTGGATTCCGAAAAATAAAATTATTAGATGTGACAATCGCCTATTAACAATGGTCTGTTATAACTGGCACAATGTATATATGATATTATATAACATTTTAGAATGGTTCTTACGATTTTAATTACAAAGGCAATTTAATTTGATTTTCAAATTCAAACTTAGTTCTTAAAAGATTTATTCGAGCCTATAATTTGTTATTAGAAAATTAATATAATAATGTTATAACTGTTTACTATTTTAGTACTGCTAAGGTACACGATAATAAACAAAAGAATAAGTAAGTTGTTTCCCTTATAAAATATAAAATTAAACTTTTTTATCACATTGAAACAATATAATTCTAAAATAAGTCTTAATCTTAATAGGCTAGCTTAGCACAGGGACATTAGTCAGATCAACTTTATTTTATATGGATTTAAATTTGTCCATTATGTCACAGTTTTTTATAAATAGTTGTTGTTTTTTTTTCTGTTCTTTCTTCCACTCTTCATGATTTTTTTCTGACGTTACACAACCAGCTATCGTCTGGGTTAAAGGTAACATTTGCTCCAACTCTTCTGATTGTTGCGTATTTTTACTGCCAATAACGCACTTTTTAGTCTTACACTTCAAGTGATTGATGTATGACATAAACCGTCTATATAGTGACATCTGCTAATTTTTCTGACACTAGAAAATAAAATAACAATATCTTGTCTTTTCTTTTAGACTTCCTTTATCTCATGACTAACCTCCAGTATTAAATATCATATCTTCAGTTGTTTGTATGACCCATCTGGTATTCTAGAAATACAATCAAAGCATACATCGACTCGTAGTAATCTTCCTCAATATCATTCATCTGTTAAACTCTGTGATAAAACTGTGGAGGTTCCATTAACTGCCTTACCCACAGCGTGATTTAAATAATGTGACTGCTCTCTCTGGTATCTTCACGATTATGGTGTTTACAATCAGTGCGTTGCTTGTATGGATAGATCATATACCGTTAGTTTCTAATAAATGCTTAGCGTTGGAATTAAAACATACTTTCCAAAAATTCTTCTTTGTGTTATGTTTTTAAATACAGTATTAGCTATGGTATAAATAATTATTTTAGGACGAAACCTGTTGTATGATCGAAACCATTTTTTTATTTATATTTCCGTTGTAGATTGAAAACATTTTTGTGAAACCATTTTTATCATACTAAACCAAAAGTTAGAATATTACACAAAGTATTAAACAAATGATATAACATCTTTAAATGGTTCTTACTATTTTAAATACAAACGCAATTTAGTTACATTTTTGTACAGAAACGCATATCTTTAATGATATATACGAACGTATACATTTTTATTAGAAAAGTAATAAAATAATTTAATAGATGTATATTGTTTTATATAATATAAATTATTAAGATAAACAAAAACAAGTATACATTATTTCTCCCTTTATATTTAGCCGCTATCTTGAAACTATTGTAATTGCAAAATAAAAACCCATTATTTGAAAATTTTTAATAAGAAAGTGTTGTTTTAAAAATAAATTCATTCAGAAAATTAAAAAAAATATTACTTTTGAAAAAGTATTTTATGAAAATAATGTTTGTGTGTGTGTGCTAAGATACAGATTGTTCTTTCATAGAACATATATTTTGCTCACTCTCATGTATCATGTTCATCAGAATTGTACATTTGATATTCAGATACAATACATCTAAAAATATGAATGTAAATTTATTTATTTTTTCAAGATACCATACAGTATTTGATGTCATTGTATTTATAATTTTATCTTCCACTTGAATCCATTAAACATTAAAAATATTTAGTTAATAATCACTCTTTTTTAAGTTTAACTATATTTGGGGACTGTGTTTTTTATTTATTTAGCTCAATTTCGGAAATAAATACACCAGTTAAAAATGTAGGTCTGATGCCTTCCCTCTTGCCCCAGTAATTGATAATCTGAACAACCATTTTAAAATAATGTGGATTGCATTTATATCATTTGTATTCACATTGTTTTTTCCCTAACATGTAAGTACCGTATTTACAATATTAAAAGGAGTTTTCAAAAAAAAAAAAAAAAAAAAAATGTAATTGCCAAATGTTTGTATTTTTTATAACTTTAGAGACTGAGCGTACATAAACTGCGTTATAATAAAACTATCTTTAAATATAATTAAAATACTGTTACTGTTAGTATTATTTATAGAAAATATATAGTTTGTTTTAAATTAATACTTCGCAACATCTGACCCCCCCCTTCCCCCTCATCACACATCGTCACAAAATTACGGACCCCCCCCCCCTCCCCCCTACGAGTGTGACGTCATTTATGGATGACCCCTAAGTTTAAAATTATTATTTTTCAAGATATTTAGTGTTTAATTACATCAAACAAATATATATATCTGAGTACATTAATATCAATAATATACATGTTTTAACATGCAAATCAGCATTTTTAAATGATGAACGTGTTTTAGTAAATGAAAAGAAATGCAAATTAATAAACTTGCTATCTTCTAAAACTTGTTCGCATGGTGATGAAGGGAAAACATTATTTAAGTAATTAATTTTGCTTTGCTTTGCTAAAGGCAATCATGAATAAATAAAAACAGAGTTTCTGGAAGCTCAATACATTCATATCTGAATAGTCTATGAGTGGTTTATGACATGGATGATGTTTTACTGGAGAAAAATTACAAGAGCTAAAATATGGATGGATGGAACCGTGATGAATTAAAAGATAATACAAAAAACTACAGCAATTACAAATTAGCAAAAAAAAGATATATATGGTAAAATGAGACCAAATCATGTCCAATTAGAATTTTAAAAGCTTCCATTAGGAGACTAACCAACAAACAATCAAATGATAAATATTTGATGTGAAAATATACATTATGTAGTTCAGTGGTAAGAGATATTTTTTTGGTAATGAAATCCTTACTAACTTTTTAGAATATCCTTTTTTTAAAATAAGAGTTATCAGTACATTTACACACGTTTTCATATTCACACAAATGGACATTTGAAAAAATCCCCAAACACAATAGTAGACATGAAACATTCAAATATTTAGAGATGTTTCAAACTTTCATCAATCTCTGATATTTTTTCTTGCAGGGCTAGCTATTGATCTATACTGAGGCTAATACATTTTTTTCCATGCCGTAACTCTCCATCTTTTTCATAATATTCTCTGATTCTTACTATTGCTTTGCCTCTGAACTCACTGACTGTGGCATTCCTCATCTTAGCTAGCTGAAACATAAATTCTCCACATGATCCTTTAGTGGGACTATATTTTTTTTCTTCACTGCTTTTAGCTGAGCTCTTTTCTTTGGTTGCTACTTTTTTCTGGATTCTTGGTCTTTGGCTTAGGCTCAGATTCACCACTTCCTGAGTCTGACTCTAAAGAGCTGAGATATTCTTTAGATTTAGGCATCTCAACTTCTTGCTAGCGTTTTCTTCAAGACACTGTTAATGGAACTAGGCAAAACAATCGTATAATCCCCCGAACATGCAGGTTAGATTACAGAGTAGATCAGTCTTCTCCGAGATATACATTGTTTTTTTTTTCGTCTCAGACATGTAATTACAGCGTGTTCGCTTTAGTATTAGTTTTCATCGTCGGCTTGTGAGGACTGATACAGATTTACAATAGTAATACTTATTTCTTACTTGTAGCCTACTTTCATTCATTTAAGATGGTTTACTTATTCATAGTTCTAATACAAAATGTCTAATTACAATTTTATTTAAAAAAGAAAAACAACTGAAAATCAAATTGTGCAATAAAATGATGATTCAGGGATTTTTTTTTTCCATCGGCGTGGTGAGCTGAGGGGGCGAGGGTTGGGAATTTAAGTGGAGCTGAAATAAATTTGGGATTACAGAAAACTAAAATGATACACATTTTATAAGCAACAGGAAAAGTTATGTTGATTACAATAAAACACAGCAAATATAACAATCTTTTCGTTCAAAAATCTATGTATATAGCATTCCTCCCACAGTTTTCTTTTTTTTTTAATTAATGTATTTTATTTAAACTTTTAAAATAGTAATAGTAATTTATTTGTTAGTTTTACACAGTTTCAAAAACTTAAACAACATTTGTATATTTAGTAATTACATGGAAATATAAAATGGCATAAGAACTAGACTAAAAAAATGTGTGCAGACTCGATTTCTTTTGACTGCTTAGCTTGCTGTGATCCAACTTCAGCTGCTTTAAAAATATGAACATAGATCGCAAGCGAAAAGTCCAACTATCTTTAATAATATATAAATCTCTTTATATAAAGTATGATATTTTGTTATTTGACTATATCATTTTAAGTAAGATCATAATTGTAAACTAAATTTTGAAATAAAGTCATTGTATACGATTATTTCATATAATTTAAATAATTGTTCATTAAATAAATCAAAATTTATATTTTTAATCAACTTTAATATTTGATATTTGATATAATACGCATATGAATTGGCATCAGCCTAGCAATAAGGGTACTCCTGTTATTGTGTTGGAAGTCACACACAGACGCAAAGCACACACACACACACAGAGACATTCGAAAAAAAAAAGTTTCCGACTCATAGAGGTATACAACTTCGAGGTTTTTTAATATCTCGATTTAGATTTATGCGCAATACTTCCTCTATAGGCCTACTTCGTATACGAGAAAGTAAAAATAAAGATAATTGTATAATAGAGCATTTTATAAAAAAAAACAAATCATATTTTATATATATTTTAAAATATAGTATATATTATATTCACCAGAAGAAACTTACTGGATCATATCGACGTTTCTGGATTTTCTTTGATGTTCCGTTTTCTCTACACGTTGTTTTTTGGTCGGTAAAACAATAGCTATGGTCTGGGTCAGTTTTAACATTTTCTTAATCTCTTCTGATTGGTGCTGATATATTTTACAGCCAATAACGAACTTTTTAGCCTTATGTATTTAAATATATTGATGTACATTCAGCTCATGAAGCTAAAGCTACCTCTGGTAACTTTTCTAGCACTATAAAACAAATATTAGGATCTGGTCATTTCTTAAAGACCACCCTAATCTCATGACTAACCTCCAGTATTAAATCTACTATCTCTTCCTTTTCACTCATTTGACCCAATAATATCGACTGTTACTCTAGGTGCAAAATCACAGCATACATCAACTCGCAGTAATTATTGATTATTTAAAATGATTCATTTAGGTATTTTAAGCCAAACAAAAGTTAACACTGAACTATTCGGTTGCTTAATCACAATATAAAACACAAGCAGTTTACACAAATGGTGTACTTTAAACAAAATTAGAATTTTCGAAATAACAGGAAAAATGAATTTAAAATTGACAGCAGGTAAGCCACAAAGCATATTTATTATTACTTTCATCACCGGGAATGATGATGGCCGTTTATCAACATCAATGTAGACACACACAAAAACAATTAAAATATGATTTTCCAAAGCATTGAAAAACCTAACTAATTAAACTGCAAATCAGTGTAAATTATTTTATTGCTAATTAAAAACCAGTTCAGAAATAGGTCTACGCTGGTTCACCTATTTAAAAAAAAAAATTGTGAAAAAATCATATCTATATCACGATAGAATTGAAGTTGCAAATCCCATTAGCGATATATACGAATATTTGAGAAAGTTTAGGAGAGATCACTTCCGCTTATTTGTATGTATACGTGTTTCAATATGTTGTTGACATATTTTAATTTCTTCTTTGTCTTTAGTAAGTACTGTCACTTTTTCTATGTCCGTAATTAGGTTAAAGCCCTTGTTTAGAGTAACTTTGTGTCCGTATAATTGGTAGTTATTGTACTTGTAAAATACTTTTTTAGTATATGCTTATATGTCACACATATTCAATTCCTTATTGTCATCTTTCAGTGTGGTTTATGTGAGTCTGCCGTATGTTTCAATTCATTAGTTTCAACTTTTACTGTGGCGCATGTGAATATACCGTACATGTTTGTAGCAATACTAATTAGTATATACGTTAAGAAAATTATAATTGTTCCACTACAATATTGACGTCCTACGCTGTGTGCTGCTTGTGTGATCCCTAGTTGTTGACAAATCCTGGCTTATTGTAATAATCTGACGTGTATGTACCTTGGTGAGTATTTTATTATATATTTTGTTTGATGTGTTAGTAGGCCTTTACTAAAAAAAATCGAAGCTAAAAATAGTATTCTCATAGACGTCTCGGTGAGCTTAGCACAGAGACATATCTGATCATTTTTTATTTTATTACATTAGTGTGTAGAAAATAATTACGGTAATTAATTGCAACATTATTCTTCATGTTTGTCTTGTTTTATTTCCCTATTCATTTCTTCTTAACTTCGTTCTTAATTTTTAGGTAAAATATACGAACCTTCTGAAAAAGTTAAAAGTAGATATTTATAATTTAGATATGTGGATTAAAAGAATGAGATATTTAAAAAAAAATTAATTGATATATTTTAAAACATTTAAAAATACATGTTTATAAAATAAAAGACAAACAAACAAATAAATGGTTTGTTTTTTAAGTCTCAGATTATGTAATTCTTTTCAGCTCGCCTGAGCTTTGTCCCGAAGGTGACCACTGTCTAATTACTTGTATTTCATCACGTGACATACGAGGACCGTAGTAGATTTACAAACCTCCGCTATCTTCATCTCTTTCATTCTTAAATATACATATAATACATAGAAACGATTAGCGGTAGGGGTGGGAGTTATAAAGTAGTAAGCTGGCATAATCAGTGTTATGTAAAGAAACAGAGACATACGGTTATGAAGAAGTTTTTGAATTTATGGAGGTCGGAGATTAAAGCCGCCATTCTGTTCATTCATAAGTGTTTTCTATTTTGCGTTATACACTTCTTTAATTTGTAATTTAATTTTGGTTTAAATTAAAAAACATTACTATTGTAATGTCGAAAAAAATTTAGAAAGCTGTTAGAGCATGGACATATATATAATCACTATTCATTAAGCATTAAGTACTAAATCTGACAAAAGGTTTCACATTTAGAGTTAGATCAAATATTAAATGGCGTGTTTATAGATAATGCCATTCTACTCATTGTTTCAAGACATTTTTTTAATGTTTTTTATTATCTATTGTTATTAAAAATAGTATATATTTTTTTAAATTTCTATTCTTTATTTTTGTTGTGTTTCTTAAATTAATGTACTAATATTTGATTGTTTCCCCTGCTTAGAAAAACATAAGAGTTACCTTTACCTAAACAATACTTTGTCAATGATTTACTATTATTGTGATCTATGGTAAAGCATGATGTTTATAATTTTATTTGAGTTTGGGATGTGGGCCCTATATTTTGTCAAATTTTAAATGGAAATAAAATGTTTTTTTTTGTTGTTTTTTTTTATTTTTTTTATTTTCTAAGTAAGCTATCATTCATCGGTGTTATTACACTAACGTAGACCCACACAAGATTGTTTTAAATCAATTAAATATATTTAAATATTGTACACTTTCTTAGCAGCTATATATCTTAGAAGTATTTTTTTGAAATATGTTATACTTAGCTTTCTTTCTTTAAAATAATGCGTTGTCTCATATGCGCTAAATTGTATGTATATTTGATTATAGTTAAAATCTTTGTATCAGAAATACATACTTTCTAAAAGCGCGTAATGATTAATTCAGTTCTGAAGTAGGTGGGGATAGACCTTTTGTACTATATGAACGGCTAACAGTTAAAGTTGAAGGCGAACATACATAATGAAAATATATATTGATAATAGTCAATGCTGACTTGTTTTTAAAGTTGTGCCCAGTTTATCAAGACAGATGCAGCAGATAGTGTGTATGATCGACTTGCACATTTTACAGCTAGAGAAAACGGTATGTAATGTTCTTATGTTTGGCATGATTGACATGTAGTTCTATTTTTTTCTGTTGCTGGGTAGGGGAGGGAGTGGACGTGTTTTCTTCACGTGTATTGTTATTTCAGGGGTGGACGTGAATACTGTTATTGTTACGCGTGAGGCTAAGGCTTGGCAAGTCATTGTTTATGGTGAGTATGTGAGTTGTGTTCAGCCCCACGTTGTTGTGTTATTCCCCTTAGACCAAATGTAGGTATTCAGTTTACTAGGTGTGTGAACGAGAGTTGATGGGTTGATTTGGACAGAGGGCTAGGCGAATATATTACGGGTGTAGGCCCGCACTAATACTGTGGTCCAAACTTTGTGTAGTTTGTTGTTTGTACTTCTTAAAATCGACCTTAACAGCTAATGGCCAGTAAAAACAAGAATAACTTAGAAATAGACCGGCCGTACAAAAACATCGACCCCTGTAACGATCGCAATTTACCGGGACTTGTCACAGTCGCTGGTATTGTTTAAGGGTAAATGTTTACCATATAAGGTGTTTATTGCCTGAGACTTGCCACAGTCGCTGGTATTGTTTAAGGGTAAATGTTTACCATATAAGGTGTTTATTGACTGAGACTTGTCACAGTCGCTGGTATTGTTTAAGGGTAAATGTTTACCATATAAGGTGTTTATTGCCTGAGACTTGCCACAGTCGCTGGTATTGTTTAAGGGTAAATGTTTACCATATAAGGTGTTTATTGCCTGAGACTTTCATCGTCGTCACATCTGAATTTGTATCATCGCCACTATCGAACTCTGCCCCATCCTCAACCGTCATCTCTTCTACCATATCCTCCACCGTCATCTCTTCTGCCATATCCTCCACCGTCATCTCTTCTGCCCCATCCCCCATCCTCATCTCTTCTGTCCCATCCTCAACCGTCATCTCTTCTACCATATCCTACACCGTCATCTCTCCTGCCCCATCCTCCACCGTCATCTCTCCTGCCCCATCCTCCACCGTCATCTCTTCTGCCCCATCCTCCACCGTCATCTCTTCTGCCCCATCCTCCACCGTCATCTCTTCTGCCATATCCTCCTCCACCACGTCTACGCCCCCCGCCATATCCACCACGTCTACCTCCACCACCATTATAATCACCACCACTAAGGCATTCTTCAATTAGTCTCTTGGCATTTTCAATCTCTTCCGTTGTTCCACTGACAAAAAAAAACCCTATGTTTGATCGAAAACATTGTTTATATACAACATCTGTTTGAAAGTGATCACATATTTACTACTGTTACTAATAATATTTTTCAATAAAGATATGACTTTTCTATTTAGGTTTGTTTAAAATTTAATTTACATACTACAAACAGTAAACAAATAAGTATTGTAAAAAAAAAATAATACATTTTTACTTTTGAATCTATGTCAATAAAAATGTGTTCTATCATATGGTGTTCTTCATCTATCGATTTTAAATGTTGTAAGAGTTGTTGTTTCCCCTAACTAAAGGGAAATAATGAGATGACTTCTTCTAGCAGAGTGTTGTTTATAATCTTCTATTCTATTTCCACTTGTACGACACATTGCCATATCAATGTGGCATATACTAAATTTAATGTGTTGAAGTAGTAGAATATTTATTTATACTTAACCTTATTAAATAATCGCGTCAGTTCAATTTGCTTTTGATGAATTTCACAATGTGTGTCGTGTATCGATTAATGATTAAATGATTATGTATTTTTATTTCGTTTCATAAGGTCGTCCATATACATACATACATCTACTATAAATAATCGAAACCGTGCATGTTCTTATCTACATTAAACATATGTTTATAATGTGTCCTATTCTAAGTAAGCCCTATGTCTAAAAACTAGTTAGCTGGTTTCAGTTAGTTAGACCTGTAATTTTATAGAGCCGATGTATTTGTATTGGTTCACATTCAGTTTAATATCATTCACACAGCCATGAAAATACTGTGTTTGTTATATAGTGTGTATTTGTTTTACGATCAAAATCGAATAATTTTATAAATTGTATGGTTGGACAAAGGCTATGGAAGCAGTCTGAAATCGAAGTCAATGGCCTCAATGGCGCATAACCAGTTGACACGTATCATTAATTGTGATGGAAACGTGGTCGAGTCGGCAAAAGCTCATAGTTGATAAATTCGAAAAAGTCTCGAGTTCAAACCCTCCAGCAGATAGGCTTGATCCCTTCCAACACTAAAAATTAAGAACGAAGACGAAGAAAATGCATTTTAGGTTCGCTTCAGTTCTATAGAGAAATGGAGAGCACTGTCATCTTGAGCAGGGGAGGATTAAGCTTTTTTTTTTTTTTAAACATTTTATATAATTTATTTTATTAGTGTTTGTAAAATAATTTAACAATTAAATAATTTCATCAAAAGTTTCCCATGAGTAAAAACTAAAAGACAATATTCAAGAAGATTTTATCACAACACCAAACAACACATATGATAATTAACATAATTATTCTCACCACACTTTCCAAAATATAATAGATAACATTTGGTGAAACATACACCACATAAATCAATACAATTTGCCAAGATACTGAATTATACCATCACAAATTCAACGCTTGTCTTAAGTAATATCTAGAGGCACACACTCACAAAGGCGCAAATACTTCTTGGATTGTTTGGGGTTATCCATAAATGACATCACGCTTTTTGGACGATTTTTACCTCCTCCACCCCCCCCCCCCCCCCCTCCCCTATGTCACACATCGTCACAAAATGCCAGGCCCTATCCCCTAAAATGACGTAACACCTCAGCCTACAACTTCCATCAAAATAAAATTGCAAAAGCATTTTTTCCAAAATCCTTTTCTGAACTCTGTCAAAAATGGAGTATTTTAATCAATTCATATTACAGTTTATTAAAACAGTTTTCTAAAACGCAAAATAACGGCTAAAACTCGTTTTCTAACAAAGCTTTTTTTAGAAGTGAAAATGTGTGACGTCACACCCCTCATCACACACCGTCACAAAATTACAGACCCCTTTCCCATACGAGTCTGACGCCATTTATGGACGATCCCTTTTATAAAGCGTCTTCGTGATCATTGGTGGAGAGTGTCCAGGGTTGGAGTGGATATAGCTGGCTGTATTTTGATCATTGTTGCTATTGGCGTTGTTCTGTCTTCGGCTGAGTGTGGTGCTGGTGTAGGGGTTTTCTGTTGAGGTGACTTAGCTAGCAGTGGGTTGTCCAGTGGTGTAGTGGTTTTCTGTTGAGGTGACTTAGTTAGCAGTGGGTTGTCCAGTGGTGTAGGGGTTTACTGTTGAGGTGACTTAGCTAGCAGTGGGTTGTCAAGTGGTGTAGGGGTTTTCTGTTGAGGTGACTTAGCTAGCAGTGGGTTGTCCAGTGGTGTAGGGTTTTTCTGTTGAGGTGACTTAACTAGCAGTGGGTTGTCCAGTGGTGTAGGGTTTTTCTGTTGAGGTGACTTAACTAGCAGTGGGTTGTCCAGTGGTGTAGGGGTTTTCTGTTGAGGTGACTTAGCTAGCAGTGGGTTGTCCAGTGGTATAGGGGTTTTCTGTTGAGGTGACTTAGCTAGCAGTGGGTTGTCCAATGGTGTAGGGGTTTTCTGTTGAGGTGACTTAGCTAGCAGTGGGTTGTCCAGTGGTGTAGGGGTTTTCTGTTGAGGTGACTTAGCTAGCTGTGGGTTGTCCAGTGGTATAGGGGTTTTCTGTTGAGGTGTCTTAGCTAGCAGTGGGTTGTCCAGTGTTGTGGGGATGCGCAGTGTTGACATGTTTGCTCTCTGTCTGGGGCGGCTCTCAGATTTTCTATTATATTGTCCTTGTAGTTCAATGTTATGTATTTTGCGATGATTGTTGGTTTGGCTGTGTAAATGGTAATTGCTGCGGTTGTTGGTATAAGGCAAGGGATAGCATTCTTTTATTCTGGCTTGAATTTCCAGTTCTGGTGACATTTTTTTGTTTCGGAAAATACACCAACCCGCGGAAAAAACGCCACTTTCTGGTGTAAGATTATGTTTCGGTTGAACGTTAAATTCTGATTCAATTTCTGTTTTTGATTCAATATCCAGTTCCAGTTAAAGGTTAAATGTCCTTTATAGTTTGTTTTTTTATTCCGTAAAAAGTCCCAGATAAAGGTCTTATTCCGGAGTATCGCTTCCTGTGAGATTTAGGCTCGAATAATATATCTGTTTAATTATATACGTTTTTTTTATAATGAATACGGTGGGTCACTATATTTTCTATTAAATACCTCTGCTTAATTAAATTAAACTTTCAGAGTAAGTGGATTACAGTAACCGAAAGAGCTTAGCATTAACAGTGAGTAAGTGAACAAACTAAAGCTCCTCCGCCTTTCGCCTTCATTCTACATTGGGCCGACACCACCAACAGCATCTTCCGTTGTCTAAAGTCGAAATTGATGTTGGGGTGGGTGATGGGGTCGTTGGAACAGTTAAAGGGGATGTGGGGATATCATGTCTCAAAATGAAGTGGACAGATGGGGAGGGGGTAGATGTGTCTGACGAGGCGTGGAGAGGGTGTCTGTGTGTGTGTTTAAGGCAAGCCAAGCGTCGATTTCTGTGCTCTGTGATCTAACAGCTGAGATGTTACTATTTATGGTGTGTGTGGGTGGGGGGGGGGGAGGGTTTGACGAACAGATTGCTATGTGAGCGATTTAGTGGGATGGTAAAAGGTTGTTATGTTCAAGTCGGTGTTTATGTTCATTTGGATGTTTAGTACCGACAGGTTAGGGGTTGGTAGGCGTTTAGCTATCACGGGGTGTGGGGATACAGTGGAGTTATAAAGGTCAAACATTAGTTAACAGTGTTCTCATAAAAGAGTTTAAATAAGGCCGTACATGTTATTAAAGTTAACAAAACAAATGTAAGTATTAATTTAGGGATAATAAAACAGCTGGTGGCCAGTAAAAACAAGAAGAACTTAGAAATAGACCGGCCATACAAAAACATCAACCCCTGTAGCAATCGCAATTTACCGGGATTTGCCACAGTCGCTGGTATTGTTTAACGGTAAATGTTTACCATATAAGGTGTTTATTGCCTGAGAGTTGTCACAGTCGCTGGTATTGTTTAAGGGTAAATGTTTACCATATAAGGTGTTTATTGCCTGAGACTTGCCACAGTCGCTGTTATTGTTTAAGGGTAAATGTTTACCATATAAGGTGTTTATTGTATGAGACTTTCATCGTCGTCACAAGGTTGTTATCGTCGTCACATCTGAATTGGTATCATCGTCACTATCGAACTGTTACTGTCGTCATCAGCAAACTGTTAACGACGTCCCTACTGAACTTTGACACCATAATATTTACTACCAATGACAGAGAGTTGCTACAGGAATAGGGCTGGAAATTTCCAGGTAAGTTTTTTTTTTCTATTGGTCTTTAGCGGGTACTCACGACCGGTTTTTTATCTTTTGTCAAATACAGAAATCTGCATCTAATAGATTTCATTTCGTCTCCACTCTCTCTCTCTCTCTCTCTCTCTCTCTCTCTCTATTGATATAAAAGTCATATGGAATGACATCAACCTAGTTATAACGGTACTCGTTATCGTGTTGACAGTAACAAACAGACACACACACACACATGCACATGCACAAACACACGCACACACACAGACATTCGGAAAACATGTTGTTTTTTTTTTTCGACTCACGGGGGTATAACATTTCAAGATTTGATTACATGTCAATTTAGATTTTTGCACGATTACAATAATTTATCTACACTTCGTATACAAGAAAGTAAAAATGACGATAATTGTATAAAAGAGCACTTTAAAAAAGACAAAAACAAAAACAAGCCACATTTCAAAATATCATATTTTGCAATCACATATATTCACTGAAAGAAACTTACTGGGTCATTAGACTATAGTTCTCGTTTATTGTTTTCTTTGTCTTTCACTTTTCATAATTTCAGTCGTTACAAAAACAGCTATGGTCTGGGTTAGATGTAACATTTTCTCCATCTCTTCTGATTGTTGCTGATATATTTTTATTCCCGTCTTATATTTAAACATATTGCTGTAAAGTCAGGTCCTGGAGCTAAAGCTACCTCTGCTAACTTTTCTAGCACTAGAAAAAAAATAGCAGGATTTTGGTCATTTCTTTTAGACTTACATGATCTCATGACTAACCTCCAGTATTAAATCTACTATATGTTCCTCTTCACTTGTAGACAGCTGAAGTTTGGCTGGGGCCAGCAAAACTTTGGTGATGTCTGCATTCAGAACGTCAATCTTTTTACTGTTGTCGAAAGTCATCTTTGACCACTTTATTTTTCTTGGCCTGTTTGGCCACTTTGGCCTTCTGACCCTGCAGCTTCTTCTTTCCCTGCCTGCCTTTCTTTTTACCCATGACTCAACAGTTCTCTACGTTTGACCAGACACAACAACTTTACTGCTAATGTGGTCATACAAACAAGCGGGTAGTATACTATTAATATACTTCCTTTAATAGTATACTTGTATCAATTATTTTTTTTCGCCTCAGACACGTAATTTATAGCGTCAGTTGTGTGTTCGCTTTAGTATTACAGTTTTCATCATCGGCTTGTGAGGACTGATACAGATTTACAATAGTAATATTTCTTTCTTACTTGTAGCCTGCTTTCATTCATTTAAGATGATTTACTTATACATAGATCTAATATAAAACGTCTAAATATAAAGAACAAATAAAAATTAAAAACCAACCTGAAACTGAAAATGCAAAAGTGTAATTAAATGATGATTCAAGGGATTTTTTTTTCTCGGTGTTCGTGGTGGGCTGAGGGGACGGGGACGGGGGGGGGGGGGGTAGAATTTGGGTTTTTAAGTAGAGCTGAAAAAAATGGGATTACCGAGAATTAAAAATATTTTAAGCAATCGGAAAAGTTACGTTATTACAATGAGACATCCATATCTATACAGTCCTCAAAGAGGTTTTTTTTTTTATTTATTAATTCAATTGTTTTAAACATTTAAATACTTATATCTTTTTTTTTTTTTTTTTTTTTTTTAAATACTTATATCAAAATAAGAATAATTCAGATTATTGTCCATAAAGAAACATTAATCGTAGATTAGTCACAAGATATATATAGCAATATATAAAACATCTTTAAATGGTTTTCACAACTGTAAATACAAAAGGAATTTTGTTATATTTTGATATCAAAACAAATCTATTAAATGGTATATACGAACGGTTTAGTTAGTATACGAACATGAATATAATAGTTTAATGGATGTATACTATTTGTGTACTACTAATGCACAGGTTAATCAAGAAAAGAATATATAAGTTGTTTCCCTTACAGATATATATTTATCACATCGCAGCAACAGTATTCTCATTTACGTCTTAACTTAATCCAGGGGCGGAACTACCATAATCAATTTTTCAATAATTAAAAAACTTAATTTTCTTTTATTTTTGACTTGATGGTTGTTTTGTAACAAGAATACTATAGCTGCAGTTGGATTATCTTTATTCTATAGACACCATTCCATGCTCTTGTATATTTTTATTAACACGTTTTTATTAACTCAGCTTCGCGTGTGTTTGTTGTTAAAATTGACATCGAAAATTAGCCCACTTCTGATTGCTCTATAGATCTGAAATTTGGCATGCAGGTTACTTTCGCCTAACAATTTCAGATGCAATCATAAAAACTAGCAATTAGAGACCGTAATTAGCTTAATTTAATTACGCCCAAAGGACCATAAAATTGAGGACATGATTTCTAAAGATACCGACAAGACTGGAGGCTTGTTGACACAGTTACTTCGGCCCCAATCGATGTGAGCGCGCTGGCCGTGATCGTATAGTGGTTAGTACTTCGCGTTGTGGCCGCGACAACCCAGGTTCGAATCCTGGTCGCTCAAGATTTTTTTAGTCCGTGTATTTATAAACACTTAGTCAAGTCATACTTAATCAAGTCATTAGATAAAGTAGAAAATAAACTATATAAAAAACTTTTTTAAAAACCACGTTTTTCATGTGTAGCAACGGACTAAAAGGGAGAAAATAAAATACTTAAAAAAAACTTTTTAAAAAACCACGTTTTTCTTGTGGACTAAAAAGTAGAAAATAACTATTTACATACATTTGATGACAAAAAACGTGGGTCGGGCAGATGGGTCGGGAAATTTGATGGTGAACGTACCCACGTTTTTTGTCATCAAATGTATGTAAATAGTTATTTTCTACTTTTTAGTCCACAAGAAAAACGTGGTTTTTTTAAAAGTTTTTTTTAAGTATTTTTTCCCTTTGTTTTTAAATCATTATGAAAGTTCGGCAAACGGTTAAACCACTTCCATGACTTATTTCCCTTTTTTAAATAGTCAAATAGGGGTGCTCATAAGCTCCTTTTAATAGATTTGTACTAAACAAATTATAAAAGCAATTACTTATCTTAATTATTATTTTTCAAAAAATACATACTAAAGAATAACATATATATATATGTGACCTAGGCTACTCGCAGCGCCAAATGTGACCCTGCTCGCAGCGCCAATTGTGACGAGCGAACATTTATCCTGCCGACAACGCCAATTGTAACGAGCCAACAGTTACCATGCTCGCAACGCCACATGTAATGAGACCTAATTGCCTGTAGTGCCACGTGTTAACGAGTTTAACCACTCATTCTAGACAACATTGACCACAGTATAGATACTCAAGATGCAGGTTCGCTATTGATCCTTTATTACATGAATCAAGAAATGCTTCATAATAACACAATAAATCAACAGGAATGCTTCTCAATAATAGTCTGAATCAACTGACCCCTAACAGTCCTTCACTAGGCTTTATATAACTGAATCCACATGTCTATAATCCTCCTTAACACAATACGGCTAACCCGTTCTATAACCGACTTGACATAGTCACACAGACTGACTGATCTAAGCGAGCGATGGAAGAGAGCTCGCTGAAACGGGAAGAGAGAGAACGAGTCCTGCCGTGCCCTCCTATTTATGCCTTGTATCCGTACTCGTCTCCGTACTTGTATTCCTCCGTAATCGATACTTGTACTCGATCTCCGACCACCAGTTGCGTAGTTCAAACGTACAGACCGTAAAATAACATCTGCGTCCTATCCATCAAAGTTGACAGGCCGTCTGAATACCGTTTCCCAAAATAGCACGCGTTGGCTTTGAGGTTGTTATCAGCCCGACCCAATAAGCCACCTGTTATCGGTTGCATCAGACCAACACTGTGTCTCGGCTTCTCGTTCGTTATCATTTGTAACTGGTAGTTAGGCCTACCCCAGTTACATCCACCCCTGCTTTTTTTGTGTGTTTTCAACCACAAACAACGCCTGGCAGGTGCACTCCTCCAAAGTCAATCGCACAGTCGTAAAAAAAAATCTATTGTTCCACTCACTGTCCACGACGTTCCATTCGTATACGATTGACAGTTCTACCTATTTCACATATCAACTGTGTCTACATCATCTTTCTGAGACACAAAACAGTTCTAGAATTCACATCCACCCTTTCCATTTGGTGCCTTCACCAGTTCACTTCTATAGCTCTTTGAACAGTCTGTTTTCATACCAGCGCGACCATGAAAGAATTGATGGTTGCTGACAAAAAATTTCGTATTCCTTCTGTTCCTTAAACTTCTCCGCGGACCACTTATCTGATGGTCTACTGTCTCTCTGCTTCTGGAGGGACCGGGATCCTCATTGTTGCCGGTATCCTCCCCTTGCGTATCGCTGTTGTTCTGTTGATGGTGATATGGTTCCGGAATGGGTATGTGAATTTCCGTTATAACTTCCGGTTCCCTAATTGTCTTGGGTTTCTGTGTGTGTAACTGCTCTTCTTGCCTATTCCAATATTTCTTTAATTGAGCAATATTCGCCCACCGATCCGGTTTGGCGTGATCGATGGGTCTTATCTTAAAGGGGCCACCTGCTACTTTAGGCATCTCCACGACTTGCCATATCTCCTGTCCCCAGAGATCGTGGATTTTGTTTCTGCCTAACGGGTGGCTACGCAGTAATACCCTGTCATTCAGTTTGAGTGGCGGGTCCTTCGTCTGTATCGGCGGTTCCCTTCGCCGAGATTCATGTTCTAGTCTTTCCTGTACTACCCTGTACATTTCTCTAATTCTTCTCATATGTTCATTCACATATTCCAGTGCGGTGTATGAGCCAGTCATACTCTCCCTTTTTCCTAGGAACAAATCAAGAGGGAGTCGAGCCTCTCGTCCGAACAGCAACATGTATGGCGAAAAGCCGGTTGTGGCATGTGGTGTGCAGTTGTATAGATATACCAACTCTGGGAGAAAATCAGGCCAACGTTTTTTCTGTTCAGGTTCTAGCGTACGCAGCAAATCATGCATGCTGCGGTTGAACCGTTCACACTGTCCGTTTCCTTTCGGATTAAATGTGGTTGTTCTAGATTTGTTGATCCCGTAGTGGCTGCACAGTTGGTTAATTACTTCTGACTCGAAAGCCCTTCCTTGGTCAGAGTGTAATTGTCTTGGTATGCCATATTTGATGAACCAATGTTCTATTAAGACCTTTGCCACTGTTTTGGCGGTCTGATCTCGCGTGGGCACCGCCACCGTCCATTTGGTGAATACATCAGTCATTACCAACACATGTTCCGTCCCATCCGATGATTGCTCCAACGACGTAAAGTCCATAGCCACAATCTCTAGTGGTTTTGTCGCTAGTAGGTGTCCTGATGGCTGTCTCATTTTGACAACTGGCATTTTCGCATGCTGACACCTCACACAAGCCTCACAATGGCGTTTGACCTCCATTTCCATATTGGGCCAGTAACACCTCCGTCGTAATATTTTGTGGGTTCTGTCCTGACCCTGGTGTCCTGCCCTGTCATGTGCCAACCTTAGCACTTCTCCTCGTAATTGTCCCGGCACCACCACCTGGTGTATTGTGCCATCAATTTGGTCATGAATTCTCCGCATGAGAACACCATCCTTTATACTGAGACGGTTCCACTGACTCAGTATTTTCTTTGTTTCTCGACCAAATTGTTCTCTTTCCCTCCTTCCTGGGAATTTTTGTTCCTGGACGTGTTTCAATAGCGGTTGTAAGCCACTATCCGTTCTCTGGGCATCTCTTATCTTTTGGTGATTAAGGCAATTAAAATCACTACTGTCCATATGTTCGGGTTCCGTGGATATGTGCTCCACCCCGGTCTGCCCGTTTTGCATCACTTGTACCCCATGAGGGATATCTGTTGACGCTCTGACCTCACATATTCCTGTCAGTGTGTCTTCCTCATCACCCGGTCTCTCGTAA